GCTGCACAGGCCCACGCTACAAACTCGTCTGCCAATCATTCAGTATCGCAACCGCAACAACGCATGAATATGATCCTCAGATCGGCAGACCGAGTTACTCGCTATTCGCTCAGGCAGTAAGTCAATAACTGTCCCTGTTTTCTCGAATTTGGATCTAAATTTACGATTGTGCAGTTTTTTCATCCTTGCTTATTTGATGTATAAATGAAGAACTTTTACAATATTCCCTCTTTTCCACCCCGCCAATTTCCATTGCTTCTGATTCTTTAGCTTTGCTTCATTGTCAATGTACAAGTACATTTTCCATACACAACTATCTAATCTTATATTTTCATCTCTCTTATATTTCTCACTACTTATACTTATTACCATAAGTATATAGAAATATAATTGATGAAGCTTTATAGATTTATATACATCTGTTAATAGCCAAATGTATAAGTATCTTAAAAATATTTTATACCTTTTTTTTAAATTAACAAAGATTATTTATGTTATTATATAAATTTTTAACTGTTGTTTTATTCTTTTATTGATTTTTAAAGAAGGAAAAACCATTTGAGTAATTATAAAGATTATACGTTTTGCGTGTTTTCTCCAGATCCAGTCTTAGAATGCCAACGTTTCGTGAACGATTTCACGAAACGTTGGTATTCCAAGATTGGATCTGGACATAGAGAAAACCCGCAAAATGCATAATCTTTGTATAGAAAGCACCCATGGAAGCCTCAAGAACATTTGATTAATTGTTCCATATTGCATGTAGCATGACTCCTAAGTTTCGTTTTTGTTTTGTTAGCATGTATTGCATTCTATGAACCTTATATAGGCCTGGGCAAATAACAGTTGAACAGAGATGCATTATACAGGTTGAAGTTTATATAGTCCAGGCCTCGTAACAATTTACATTTAATGCTTATGCAATAAAACAAGTAGCACCAGAGGTGGCTAACGAACCGATCCCATTTATTTCTGTGACTTGCAGTGCGCGCACAACAAAAAGTTATAAAAGTGCATTTATCAGATGACTAACCGATATTCCCAGTGGCGTTGGGGAGGACTGTCAGGTAACTGGAGCATCTCACCAGCGCCGAAGATCTCATCGCTTAAACCCCATCATTCAGTAAAAAGCACTTCACTCTGATCTTCAATCCTTCAACTCGAGCAAGTTTTGCCCAGGCTTTTTTATATCATAAATCAATGAAGATCAAACTATATCTCTACCAAAATCATCAACACTGCATTATTGATTAATATGGTTTTATCATATCTGCATCATGGGATATGAATTTGTTGCAGTGATATTTAATATATAGCTTACACAGCTTTTAATTGTTCTTCCATATATCAGAGTATTGCGATGCGTTGAATGTCTGCAAAAAAAAAAAGAGAATCAGATTCTATTAATAATCATCTTTTAACTCTAATATCATCTTTCTGCTGGTCAGAATAAGCACTTGTAGATATATATTTTTAAAATCATTTTTCGACTTATACAATTATATAATTTCTGTTTTCAATAATTTTTTCAAAATTTTGCCAAAATGTTAATTTAGTGCTCACGTACTTATTCTTTTCGCAACGTTTAGTTGAACATGTATTTTACAGTGTGTATTACACACTCTAAAGACACATTTTTTCATTTTATTTCATTTTGTCAAAATTTAAAAAATTAGAAACATTTAATTAACTTTAATAATTTTTGATGAAGTAAGATGTATTATTTCTTCCATTATAATTAATGTATATCTTGTTAAAAATACAAAAGAATGACTTTTGATCCATTGCACAATCAAAACTGAAGGAGTGTAATGATAAATTTCTTGCCTCAAAATTAAATTTATTACATTTTTCTGTTATTAAAATATACAAATTTTTATATACGTATATATTATATATACAAATTTTTATTGTTGTGAAAAAATTATTGCAAACCGGAATTGGATAGTTAACAAAAATAAAAATTTATTTAGCATTATCGTGATATAGAATACGTAGTACATTATAGAAGCATATAATTGTCTTGTATTTCAATCAATTAAAACAAATGTTAAAGAGCTCGAAACACTGTAATTATGGCACTTGTTAAAAAATTTATTTGTGTTGCTTTTATTTTGGACAAACGCATTAGATGAAGAATTGCAATACCAATGTATATATTATATGTGCAGTTTATATACGATCGATGCTACTTACTTTGCCAGCGATGTTATTTAGTATAGAATATGTTAAATTATACATATATTTCTTATTTAATTGAAAACAAATTAAATGTAGATTTTTATAAATATGCGACTTTATATTATTTTTTTCTTTTTTTTTATAACATCAATTATACATACATTGATAATAACAACTTTAGCAACATTTTATTAAAGACACAATTTTAATATGTAAAGAATATTATTTATCTTCAGGTCTTTTTGTAAACATATGAACAAAATTTAATTACGTAACTTATACAAAAAATTTTAACGCGATTGCTTCAACGTAAAACATATCAAGAAATGTGATGTGAAATTGTAATAGTTATTATATACTGAAAATTTTTGTGCTCTAAAAAAAGAAGAAAAAAATTTTAATAAAACGTTTTACGTAAAAACATCAAATATTTTCGATGATTCATTATATGATTCAAATTGACCTGAAGATAAGATGACGTGATATTGAATATTCTGATGTAGAGCACTTTGTAAATTGTATATAACAGTGTAAGTTAATTATGAAATATTTGGAATACCTTTAAGTACAAGATTAAAATTAAGCTGTTACTCTTACGAGTACCTTTTCTGTACATATTAAGTTGTTTTAATAATCTCAAAAATTGCACTTTGCAATGTGTAACACTTCAAAAAGCATCACTTTTGCAGTGCAGTATTTTTATTAATAGGAAAGAACAAAAGTTTTTACATACAGTAAAAAGATTATAATAAAATCGTATTTATAATTGTTAAATGAACTTTATTTGAATGAGTATTATACCAAAGTGACAAGATATATAAATAATTATATGAAAATATATCTTAATTAATAGAAATTTATAGTAGAATGATATTTGGCATAAAGTTTTATTATCTTTGAAATTCAATTAATAATAATTATTAATAAAATTAATATAATTTATTAAAACTAATTAATAGATTGCAAAATTAAAATTTTTTTTCAGGTGTTTTGTTTGTATCATATCTTAATGTTATACATTAGATTTGTGTTATACATTAAAATAAAATGTGTTTAACAATTTTAACTTATAATCTTGTTATAATACACTTTTATTTTCATATATCTACATATAAATATATTTAATTGAGCATGTATCAGTCACTTATTAAATGTATAATAATAACTGCAACAATTTATTAAAATTTAATGAACTATAGATCTAGATTCCATAGCTTAAAAAGCAAGGTACTTGCTTTTTAACTTTCTTATTTATAACAAGAATAATTAAAGATATTAATTTTGTAATATAATATTCTTTTCTAATTTTATATTTCTAAATATCTCAGATAATTAATGAAAATAAAATTCTCTTTTCATGTCAGTTAAAAATCAAAAGGAGAAAAATGTGTTTTAAAATGTAACAAAAAATTAAATTATATCGCCAGAATCTGTTCTAGGCAGCAAAAAGGAATTGTCAATTTCAAATATCAATAATAGATAATATAGACGGCAGTCGTAAGAGTAACTATAATTGTTGTTTATAGACGATGTCACGCTATATATATATCTAAGATAATTATAATAAAAAAAAGTTTATTATTTTTTATGAAATTGATACATAAACTATAGACACTAAAACAGATACTAAAAATATAGACATGTCAATAGTAGTTTTTAGTGCAAAGTTCTCGACTAAATATACACATACAAATGCTTTTACACATATGTATGTAGTTTATACATTAGATTTATATACATATATGTGTGTATGTGTGTATATATATATATATATATATATATATTATATATATATATATGTGTGTGTATGTATGTATGTATGTATACATTAGCTGCGTATTCATTTATACAATGAATATAGAAGTCATAGCTTTTTTTGCTAATTATTAGTGTTTAAAAACACATGTTATTCAAATGTGATGTTTAGGAAAATAAAGTCTATTTGCCATTAGGTTTCCAAAAATTTGTAGAAAACAATTATTTATTTTCGAATAAATACATTGTATAAATTATAAAATGATAGCAAGTTACGATAGAAATTCGGATGTCTGTTAAGAATTGTGAATTATGTATAACATTTCTTCATTGCGTAATGTTTAATTGTAATATTATATGCAACGAGACCATTATGTCTTTAAGAATACAATCATTGTCATGAAAATAATTTGGTCAATTTTAAGCAGAAGCATAAGATATGCATAAAATTACAATATCAATTATAAATTCTTACAAGTTTTACGACGAGTCTTCTGTTTCTGCTTAGAATTTATCCATAAATCTGCAAGTGTATATAAAAATTATACAATAGTTAATTTATAATATTATGTTGCATAGTAATATTACAAATGCAACATTACAAATCACAGTGGATTAATAAGGGAAAAAATATCTTAGAGTGCAAAAATGTTTCTATTCATTACAAAAGTGACATTTAATGTAACATTAGATTAGGATGCGAGATATTGAGAGTATTATTTAATATTGTATACTTAAATACTCTTTGTAAACTTTTTTTATAATTACAAATTACTAAATGTGCTACATATATAATTATAAAAAAAAATTATAAAGTAAAACTAGATCACACAGTGAACTTTATATTGTGTTATATATTCAATAAAGAATATGTATTTTATTTATCTTTTTTGAATATTAGTTATATCCTGTTATTTACACTTCAACTGCATAGAAAAGCTGTTTGTAAAATGCTGTAAAATCATTTATTTTATATATAAATCAGTTTATTTTTAAAAGTTATTGAATAGTCTCTATCTCTCTCTCTCTCTCTCTCTCTCTCTCTCTCTCTCTCTCTCTCTCTCTCTTTCTCGAGAGAAAATTTTTTTTAAAGATAAAAAATAATTCGTTATTTAGTTAAAAGATAAATGCAATATGTAGCTAATGCTACCCAGTGACTAGCAAATCCGAGCTCAGCCCACTTGTTGATTGTGTGATTATAGCTGTACCCTGTTTCTTGGAGATCTGACGTATCAAACATGAGACCTAAGTAAGCTAAATGAAATATCGCCCCGAAAGAAAACATCAAGTTTGTCATAAACACCATACAATTATGAGAGTTGTATTTATGCATGCATTTTTTCTTGGTGCACTGTTTGGACGTGACACAAGCGTCGAAGGTGTCAGCGAGAGTGGCCCTAAGTTGAAATTCTACATACGTGTAAAATCCTAGACTAAGTAACACGGCCGCCAATTGAAAGTTCAATCCGTGTAAAAGAGAACTTATCAGATACGTGATGATCACTGCTCCAAACTTTCCCAAGTTTTTAATACTAGGACGGAATATGTCTGAAAAGTGATGACAGGAATCAATTTAAATTTCATTTTTAGCCTTCAATGCCTTGTTACAAAATTCTTTGTCATTGTAAGAATTATTTTGAATTCGGATTTTACACATACACGTTTTTAGCCAGTGATGCATTGGAATGTTCCAAAAAACGACGACCTGAACAAGCGAGCGTGGAAACTCGATGTACAAGGGCTTAACTATCGTCGACGATGAAAGGGGAAATCCTCCCAAAACTAGCAATGCCGAAGCTATGTACGAAACGAAGTAATGGGATGTTCTGAAGGATAACGCATCTCTGTACGCTATTAACCACCTGAAATAAGAAAAAAATATTTCTTTACATGAAAGCATCAAATATTCATCAAAAAATTTTTGAATTGTACATACTAACTTCCAAGAGTTATCTACAAATATCCATTGCGTCCAACAATTTGAAATACTCAGGAAGACAAAAGAAAGGAAAGCAAATCCTATACTACATATTATCCACCATCTTGTCTGTGTATAGAGAATTTTATTATTAAATATCATTGCGTCTATTTTAAATTATCTTAGAAACTGTTTTTAAAAATCTGTCTTTCTTATTAGCATATTTTTATATATTTTATTTTTGTATATTTTAGTGATAAAAATAATACGCTTATTTTTTAAATACCTGACTGCTAGAGTAACGTAGTGACAGATAATCTTTAAATGACACCCATGGTCCAAATAAACAAGTTACACCACAGAACATGTAACCCATGTAACTATAAACATCTGGCAAGTTGTTTGAGTCATTTGTGTCAATGGCAACGCTAATCGCTTTCATCACCATAGTCATGATGACACTGCGTATCCTATGCCATATCACTGGTTGCATTGAGAGTTCACTAAAAATACATTGGAATATTCCTTATTGGCTGTAGAACATAAACACAAATTAGTCTACATTACTGAAACATACCAGTACGCAATTATCAAAAGGGACGGTAAAAAGATCCCTGCACCTTTGTGCAATCTTTTTGGCACATGTAAAATACCATAAGAAAATAGAACGAATACTATCAATACTATTAAGGATTCATGCACATAATATTGAATTATATACAAGCCTATAATAACTGATAATATATGAAATACTTGATGCGATATGTATTCTGAAATGTAAAACAATAAATTATTTGCAATTTGTCACAAGAACAATCTGATAAAAAAAGAGAAACAATAATTACAATATAATTATACAATTCATATTAACATTTAACATTTTTAATATAAATAATGTAAAAAATTTTAACCAGTGTGAACAAGCAGTCTAAATAAAATTGTACTGCCCAACAAAGGCAGTATATGGTGTCCAGTATCAAATAGACTAGGACTGAGACAATGCTGATACAAATCGTGAAGGGTTTCCTTCTCTGAGTCTGTGTAATCATAATCATATTCGACATTGTTGTGCAAACACTCGTAGTCCAGACAATCATCCTCGTCGTTGTAGAAAACAGTCGTGTCTGCATCTTCCATCGCGGCAAGAATAAAGATAACTGATCAGCATAGCACGTTGTGAGATTTGTATTCTGTGTTCGACCTGTTTTTTCAATAAGAAAAGATCATATAAAATTTGAAAATTAGATTAAAAAGATAGAAAAGATAAATAAAAACAAATAGAAAGGAAAGATGTAAATTAAGAGGAAAGATAAATAAAGAGATGAATTAATTTTACAATTAAAAAATATAATATAGCGTGCGTGTTTGAAGTAGAAAACATGTCGTCAAAGCGTAATAAATAAAAGGATTTCAAGGCATGAATGAACTATACACAACTGTATAATGCTTTCGTATGTATATACACTACATAATAAATTATTACAATCTTTCATTAACTTTAAAATACCGGTTTTTTTTTCAAAATACATACTTTGCCGAATGTCCAAGTCTAATAATAATAACGAGATATTTCAAACAAAGATTATTAGTGAGGTAGTATCAGAGATTGTCAACATAGCGGCGCGCTGAAAAAAACTTGCACTTTGAGGATAATAGAAGGACACTGTAAACTCTGATTATATGCTACACTCTGCAGCTGCAGAGAAAAAACTTGAGAGTGCAATCATCCCTGGTCATCACGTACTTTTTCATGTATATGTACCAAACCTCATAGAGTAATGTCCATGTTAAAATGTATAGTCTTGTCCATTCGTGGGTTAAACAAGGAAACAGTCAAAGATTGTTCATCCTTGTGTAACCCATATGATAGTATGGAAGACAATCACAAAAAGGTGGACATAACCTTATGAGGTTTGGTATGCATCAGTATGCATGTATATATGTCCACATATCACAGCATCATAAATGTTACAACCATCTGAATTTGCATAAGTATCGAGGCATGCTCAAGACGCGCGTTCCTTTCTAAATATTCGTGCATTATGACTAATAATTATTTGAAAAATGGTAATTAAAATAAAAAATTGAATTAAATTTAGTTTTCAAAACATTGAAAATTGAATTAAATTTAAACTAGACTCAATTTAAACTTAATAATTTATAAACAATTTATGAATAATGTAGTATTATTTTTCTTACAAAAATCGCGATTAGACACAACATTCTGCAATTCTTTCCTACTTTCTCAAACTATTAATTAATCACACATATTTATCAAAACAAATAGTTAATTACTGACCTATTTTATTTTGCCAATATTATTAAGAATATGTATCCTTATGTTTTTTTCTCCTATGTAATAACTACGTTATTTATAAAATATTTATAAATTATTAAGTTTTATTTATAAACTGTACATTTAATTTTAAATTTACATTGCCGTTTTTCGAATAACGATTAGTCATAATGCACGAATATTTAAATGGGACGCACGTTTCGAATATGAATTTATTATTATGCAGGTATATATTTATTTCATGTATTTTTATATTATTACATTTCTTTAAAACAAATTTCTTTACATTTTTTAGAAATGCATGTCTAGGAAAGATAATAAGAAACCTCAAAAAATGTCTGAAAAAAAAGAAAAAATTGGGAATGGACACAAAAAAATTAATGTAACTTACACTTTTATTTGATACTGCTAGTTCTTTTGCATCCGAACTTTTTTCTATTATTTTCTAGTATTTACAATAAATAAAACATGTAAAAATATGTATATTAGATATAAAGAAACTTATTTAGGACTCTAAGAAGACCGAAAAATATATCTCAACATTTAATTCTTCAGGCAACCAATGAATACTCTAATAACATAATTCACATCTTTTCGCTACTGGAAATAGCGAAATAAATTTGAGAAAATTATGTAACTATTTGCATACATTATATAACTATTTGCATTTGTGTGTACATCTTGCTATATATTTCATTGCACCAGTTTAAGTTAACTTTAATGGATGATTATAAGAATTTGGCAATATATCAGTCACTTAACTTTTCGCGACATCATTAACACATCTTCACGAATTAGTCACTTATATGGCACCACATTTTATTTTTCTGTGATAAATTGAAGAATTATGTGAGACAGCAATAAGCTCCTTGTGCGATTATATCGATGCACGCGATTAAGAAGGCAGTAAACCTAAGTTCTGTAGACATATTTGCGCTGCTTCTGCTTTTGCCTGTTTTTTGTTCGAACTCGCAACACTCGGCTTATATTCAATGCCATTTACTTTTACCTATAGTAGAAAAATATATTTGTATATAAATATATATATTTCTAAGTATAATATAAATATTAAATTATTTATTAGAGCAACATTGCTCACTTTGAAGAGAAAATTCTTCCTGTGATCTGGTCCAGATTCAAAGCATAACTCGTAAACTGGTGCTCCAAGTTTTTTCTTTGTGCAATATTCTCCTAAAAGCGACACTGGATGTTTGCCTAGGACAAAATAAATGTGAATAATCAAATTTAGTTTGACTTATTATATTTTAATTAGAAATATATGCGCGCGCGTGCACACACACACACACGCACACACACACACGCGCGCGCGCGCGTATATCTATTCGCAAAATAATTTAAATTAAATTATACCTTCCAACGTTTTGATCATTGGCACCATAGGCTTTGCAGTTTTGCCAACTTTTTGCACGATATCCTGTTCAGAAATGAGTCCTTTCTTGTCTAATTTTACCTCTAGTTGCAACGGTTCCAAGGCACCTTCTTTATTCTTGCCAAGGCCTTCACCAGGACGCCAACCCATCTTCTGCAGTAATGCCATACCCATCCCACCCGATAGAGGCTGTGCCGATACTAATTGGTCCTAAACAATTTGTTGAATTAGAAGAAATAATGTACCTATGTAGAGTTGTATTGCGCGGATACAATATTAAAATATAATCTTTGAGTTATATATGTTTTATTTTTTAGAGTCAACATATAATTGCTAAAAGAACCATGTATTAGATGATACAATTCAAACAAATAAACTCATCAATAAGACAGATATATTCTATTATTTATTCGGTTATAATCTGAAAAAATCTCTCTCTCTATGTGTGTGTCTCATAATGTTGAAAATTTTGAAAATATAATTACGGGAATTTGTTATACAACTTGCGTATACTTACCAAACAGATACATACCGAACAAATAATAATCTCTGCACCAGGCTGCTGAAGTTGTTTTTTTCTCTGATGTAGCTATATGCCTGTAACAAACCCTCAGGTGGATGCAGACTAATGCTAAATATCCCAGCTTTATGAATAAAAAACAATCGGCTTCTGATGAAATCCTAGGAAGCTGACGATAATTAGCAATAATCTCACAAGAGCTCATTATCTCAGTTGAATATATAGAAAATTTTATTTGTAGAAAATTAAATTTTAGATCAGAATATACATACATATACATATTACATTCTAGACTAATACATATTATAATAATTAAATTAAATTTTAGATTTATATATATATATATATATATATAAAATAAACTCATTAATAGGATTTAAAATCACAACTTTGGAAATTTCAAAATTTAATTTTCATAGAGATAATAATGCTCCTGTGTCCATGCAGGCACAGAATCCACTCCTAAATAAGAAATAGTCTGTGCCTACAACACAGTCTCTACTAAATATCAATGTTAACTTTTTATTGATTCTAGTAGAGACCGTGCCCGAAAACTTGTTACAGGCAATTCAGTATGTCAATAGCGTATTTACTTATACAATGTCAGGTCCAAAAATCTTAAATAATTCAATATTAATATTGAATATTATTTTATTGTAAGACATATTAAACCTGTTTCATTGTTAAGTAAGAGAGAGAAAAAGAAAGGAATTATAATAGATGTGTGTTAAGATGCATTTACATATCATGTACATCATATACAAAATGCTGTTCTCTTAATGAGAATTATACTTATGTTGCTTTGAAATTTAAATATGTAATTATAAAAATAAAAATTTTTTGCAGTGTGTATATGCATAAACACACGCACGCACGCACGCGCACACACACACACACACACACACACACACACACACACACACACACACACACACACACACAATAATTTACATTTTATTTTGATTTGGAAATGTATTGTGCATCGGAAGCATTGATTTAAGGATTGATTCAAGGATAAATTTTATGAAATCGGAGTGGAATAAAATATACAATAACTTTTTACCTTACGTGCCCAGGCTTGATAACCTGAAGACAATTCTGCAGGTGTAAGTACTTTAACTCCTGTACTACCAGTAAATTGACCTGGTATCTGCTTACTTTCAGCCCAAGTTCTCATCTGTAATATCGTGAATAAATTCATCAATATGTATATCATGCTATATTTTGTGACAATCTATGTCACTTTTTTACCTCGTTTTGTGCCCGTTGCATTGCATTCAAAGCATTTATATCATTTGGATTTTCCCTTAATTTTCTTATAGCTGCTAATCTCTCAGATACTATAGAGCCAATATCCATGGTCTGCAATCATCACAATTATAATAGAACAATCTTTTTACTAATTGACGATATAATTAATTAATCATATAATTTTATAACATGTGCATAGATGTTTTCTTTTTTATTTTACCTCCGTTGTAGTTGGGAAAACGGTTTGCACCGATTGCACCGGTTGTACAGGTTGCACAGGTTGCACAGGAGGTGGTGACATTATAATTGATGATGCATTTGTAGAAGCTGGTACAAATATTTTTTTTGGTTCTGGTTTCTTTGGTGTAACAGGTACCCATTCGTTTTCTAAATACAAATATTGTATCATATTGGTGCATTAGAATAAAACTATAAATTATATCGTAAAAATTTCTACCGCTTCTTCTATGATGTTGTCCACTGGAAACAGGAAACTGCAATCTCAATTGATTTGATGTTTCAGCTGTTTTTTCTTGAAACGTTTTTGTTGGTAACTGTTTTGCATCCTGAAAAGGAGAAATAAAATTTGCTTTAAAATTTGATGTTTATATCATAAAAATGTAACATTTAAGATTTGTAAACAATAATAAAGTAGATACATATACCAACCTTAATATTCATTATAATAGAACTGGGTCTTTCTTTTAAAAGAAAAGGATGATGAAATCCTTTCTCAGATTCACTTTCTTCTCCTTCAGAAGAGATACTAGATAATTCGCCTAATGCTTCAGACTTGGATAATGATTTACAAAAATCTGAAAACACAATTTTATATGTAATTACATAATGAATAATAACACAATGATGGAATAGATAATGTGTATATATATATTTTTTTTGTATACATATATATATATATATAATCTGTATATATGTATATTCATTTCAAGAAAAAAATTTTATATATATATATTAGGTGTTGGAATTAATTCGTAGAAATTATTAATAAAATTAAAGTGAACAAAAAAATTACCTGTAAGTTCATCCACTGTTTTCCCACCAGTTTGTATAGCAGCAATAGCTTTATCTTGTTGAGCTACTGATAGAGTTCCTTGTTTTATCATACTT